CAAATCAAGTCCAACAAGAAGAGGATATTTGAAAAGAATGCACCAGTTCTGGAAAGAACATCCAGAATCAGAAATAACAGATGAAAGGCTAGCAGATTAATGTTGATTTATAACACGAAATAAAGCATTCACAGAAGTAGAATTGGAAGAACTGCAAAGGTCTACTCAAGGCAAAGAATTCAAAGCCTTGCCAGAAGTGGCTCCGATGGTAGTCCTCAGAAAGAACAAAGCCCTCTAACTAAAAAACAAGAGGAATCGAAATAAAGAATAACTGAGCATCTAATACAGCACAAAAACAACAGAAAAAGGTTGCCTGCTTTGAAGCTTGTTACAAAGAAACAGCTAGCACAAGTATTAAATGATGCCAATAATGTAATATCAAATATAAGCATCAGCTCACTGCAAGAAACAAACCAACTGGTGTACAGCATGGCTGCAGTTATAACTGAATACCTTGGATGCAAAATCAATGAACAAGAAAAAAACCCAAACAGTGCACCACCAAAATGGAAGATCAGGTTGGAAAATAAGATCAGCATGCTAAGATCAGATGCAAGCAAGCTAAAACAGATGAAGGAAAGAAGCTGAAGAACAAAAAGACCAAAGAATACCTCACTAAGAAATATCACCTAGAAACAAAGAAGATCAAGGAAGCACTAGAAAGAATAAACCAGCAAATAACAGCCATAGCCAAGAAAATCAGCAGATACGAAGCTTGAATTGCACACACTACAGGCAGAACCTCCAATTTTAGTTGAATCAGAAATATTTCTACCAGTTCATCAATGGAGAGACTGCAATGAACCAGTCAACACGTGACAAGGAAGAAACAGTGCAGTTCTGGATGCAGCTATGGGACAACCCAAAGAAATGCAACAAGAATGGATAAAGGAGGTAGATAAGAATAAAAAAGAAGCTGAAATTGTAGTCACAGCAGAAATGGTGGAGAAAAGGGCAAGGAAGATCAAGAATTGTCAGCACTAGGTGAAGATGAACTGCATATTTTTTTGTTGAAACATCTGACTGGTCTGGACCCCCTCATTGCCAAGCAGTTTAACAACATACTGCAAGGAGGTGAAATTGAAGATTAGTTAACATCTGGCAAAACCTACCTGATAATGAATGATCCAACAAAAGGGGCAGCACCAGGCAACTACAGGCTGATTACCTGCTTGCCAACAACTTTCAGATTGCTAACTGGTGTGGTAGCTGATGCAGTCCAACAGCATCTAATTGAAAACAAGTTATTTCCATCTGAGCAGAAAGCTGATTACCTGCTTGCCAACAACTTTCAGATTGCTAACTGGTGTGGTAGCTGATGCAGTCCAACAGCATCTAATTGAAAACAAGTTATTTCCATCTGAGCAGAAAGCTGATTACCTGCTTGCCAACAACTTTCAGATTGCTAACTGGTGTGGTAGCTGATGCAGTCCAACAGCATCTAATTGAAAACAAGTTATTTCCATCTGAGCAGAAAGGAAACTGCCCAAACAGCAGAGGGACAAAAGATCAGCTCCTAATTGACATGGTGATTCTGGAAAACTGTAAGAGAAGGAAGACCAACTTGAATGTAGCTTGAATTGATTATAAGAAGGCATTTTATTCCCTGCCACATGACTGGATAATCAAGTGCCTAGAAATAACAGGAATCACTAGAAACATCAGAAGCTTTGTGCAATGATCAATGGCACAATGGAAGACACAGTTGCTGGTCAATGGTGAGAGACTGGGAGAGGTTAGCACATGAATTCAAGAAGAAGGTTAGTAGTTAACACATCAGAAGAATGAAGATCTTAAAATCCAAACTCAGTAGTGGAAATACCATCAAGGCGATTAACACCTGGGCAATTACAGTCATTAGATATACAGCTGGAATAGTGGACTGGACCCAAGCTGAACTAAAAGCCCTTGATAGGAACACCAGAAAAATAATGACAATGAATCATGCCCTTTATCCATGCAGTGATGTTGACAGACTCTACTTACCAAGGAGCATAGCTGGGCATGGAATGTTACAAGAACATCAGATAGTTGAAGAAGAAAAAAGGGCATTGGAAGAATATTTGAAGGACAGTGAAGAAGATGCACTG